TGAGGGCGGCGTGCGGTGGCCAGGACGACGCGAAGAAGAAAAGTCCTGCTGGGTGTAGCTGTGTGGCGGAAGAACGGCCGCAGCCCGCGGAAACGCCACGTAGCACTGGTCCTGTGAGACGTCAGCAGCGCCGCGACACTGCCGACGCGACCAACCACCGAAAACCGGGCTGCAAGGGCCTTATTGCAGGAACTGTAATTGTGACTAGGGTCTTAAAATTGCTTACTTGCTTATTGAGAACTTCTTTAAAACCGGACGACCTGGTCATACCCAAAGGCTGTTGTGTACATATTTGATTTGTTACTCCGAAGAGGCCTAGTGGGGTAAACAAGGTATTGCGGTTAGTATCCTGCCTTACTATTTGAGATCTGTTAGCATTTGCCTTCAGTCACTGGTAACTTTGGTAGTTTCGCCAGAGCCTGGCATCTAATTAGTGCGTGACATGGATGTTGTTTCTTGTTTTAGGGAGGAATTATTTCATAGCAAATCAGGCAAAGCCAGAGGAAAATCACAGTATCAGAACCTGGACTCCTAACTTCTAGACCAGTTCTCTTCCCATTACACCAGTCATCAGTCTTTTCTAAACGCCTTCGCGGGAAGTAACGTTTCTCTGTTTTGCATGCAAAAAGTAAACTATGGCAAGCACCGCTATTTAACAGTAGGCAGATTTTTGTACTCTCACTGTACTTCCAGCACCCTTATAGTGTCTTCTACTTCTGGTTCAATTTAAAAAGCAGATTTATTTCTGTAGGGCTGAAGTAGACTAGCTGAAGCAGCTTAGGAGACAGTAGCTAATTTTTAGTGTTCTGAAAAGCCTTCCATTTTTACTTATTGCTGCAAGGACTAGTTTACCTAAAGGGGTGCTAATAAAAATCCCCAACTTAAAAGCAGGATCATCATTTGAATCAAGTGAACACCTTGAACTCCCTACTGTCTCATTCCCCAAAGACCCTATCCTGCTTCGAAGTGTGCATTGGATGGTATGGGGCAAAAATGGTTCATTAGAAAACTCCAAAACTCAATGATGCAAGTAGTGGTTACATTCTTTGGTATCATTTAATATAGTCATTCAACTACAGGTTCCTCCTGCATAAATCAAATTACAGACCTCTCCTTTCCCCTACTCCCTTTTGTAGGCCCTGTGAGCCAAGAACAGCAAAAGAAAAATTATTCCATGAGAAATTACATGAAATTCCAATTTTTGTGTCCATGAGGTTTTATGGGAACACAGCCATACTAAATGGTTTCTGTATTGTCTATGGCTGTTTTTGTGCTACAACATCAAAGTAGTTGCTAGACACCACGTGGCCTGCAAAGTCCTAAGTATCTGCTATATGGCCCTTTAAGGTAAAGTTTGCCAGCCCCTATTCTATTAGACAGGACTTTGTCTACAAACAGATTAATGCTCAAAGTAGGAATAAGACATTCAGTATTGTTAAGTTTCCATTTCAAAACCTTGATATAGTAGCATATAAAGGCAATATGAAATGTCAATTATAACGTAACTGGTTATTGTAAGGCTGTATACAGTTTCCAGGCTTGGTATATTTATACCTGGTTGAATATAAAGACTCTGTAGCTTGTTTTAAATGCAGGAAGTTCTGGCTGTGACTATGCAAGCTGAAACTGTGCAAAGCCGTCTTAATCTATGGATTAACAGTCTATGTTCTGTGACCTTAAAACCTGTCAAAATATTAAAAACTCTTGATGTTGCCTATAAATGTAATATAGTAAAATTAATATTTGAAACATTGAAAGTTAAGAGTTTTATTTCTTTATTAAAAAAGTATCAAGAGTAGTTTGAACAGTGCTTGCTTTCTTCTCTAACTTACAATGTGGAATAAGCATTTTTTTTCTGTGCCTTGGCAAATTGTCATACTTTCTAAGTTTGAATCAGCTTTCACAACTTTGTGCTGTCCATGTCCTGAGACATCTCTGAGAGTTAGTTTAATGTGAAGTTTTTCAACAGCATCACTTGCTCTGAGACACGTTCATCCTTTATAATGCAACCGCTTTCCTCGTTTATAACTTTATATTCACCTTCACTAAGTTCACCTCACTGCAAATCTACAACTGTTTCTTGAATGGTGGCAGTGTCAACATTGCAGCATTCTTATGGTCATCTTTATCTTCTATAACTCCATTTATATTCCATCCAAATCCTACAGGTTTTTGCACAGTAGTCTCTCACTACTATGCAAAGTGAGGACTACTTGTAATCCTGGGAATCTGGGTGCAGATTTCACAGCAGCATTCTTATTTGAGCTTGTAGTTTCACCGGATTAACATTAAATCAATTCATGTTGACTTCTGAAAGGATGAAACCAGCCTTTTCTGGCAGTAAAAAGATCTTGTAATTAATTACCATTTTCCTTCAGTGCTTTGGCCTGAATGCTAGCCAAACTGATTAGGATTTGTTTTTGATTCCTCAATCCAAAGTAGAGATAAACACTCCATTTCAACCTTAAGCGGCTTTCTGTTCCTAGTGTAACTTAAACTAAAAGATGTTGAAACAACTTTACCTTGTTCATATATTCATCAGACTTTTAAAATATGGTTTGTATTGTAGTTCCATGTAGGCCTAGGTCTCATCCTATCTTCGCTTTGCTGTGACCATTTTCAAATCTTCTAACCACATCTAATTTCACTTCCAGTGTTACCACTTTTCATTTCTTTGCTGCCTTGTCATATTTGTTGGCTAACTCCCTCTTTTGATTATCCATTTTTGTAAAATGTTGCATGCATTTATCACTGGGAGACAAGGAGGCAACATAAAGCTATATGCTTTTCTGTCTCTGCGTGACTTAATAGCCAGTGACCGTTCACCAAGACTTTGAAAGAAGTGATACAGCTGGTTCTTATTCATGATGCACATCTTTTATTTGCATAATGATTTGTGGAATAAAGAGCGAGCAGCAAAGTTTATGCAATAATTCAGTTAATATTGTGACAACTAAAAGTTCAGCTGTGTTGTTGCAGGTCAGGTGTTGTTTAACTACACTGTGAAAACTGATATTCATGCATCATGTGTGTTGCAACGGTGCACCTGCATCTAAAAAGAAAAACTTGCATTAGTTCACAAAATAGTCAACTTTTAACCCAATTTATTTAACTACTAGGCAAGCCAAATCCTAGATCAAATAAAAACTAAAGCTTTTCTTAAAAGAATGCTAATTCTAAGACTGAATTACTTGTTGTATCTAGAAGAATGTTCAGAGATAATGTAACAGAATTCTTCAAATTAGGATTTACAGTCCAAAGACATCGTTTTGAGAATTAGGCCCTCTCCCCTCATTTCAATAATCTTGAGGTCTGCAAAAGAGTAAAGTTCTGGACAACTATACTGTTGATTATAAAACTTTACAATCATCACAAGGCACAAAGCCATATGTAAATAAAATTTATTGGATAGCGGCCACTATGTTTACTGCTACAATACAGTAGCATCCATCCTATTAAATTGTTTAAATTTTGGTTTTGAATGTACTTATTTTGTACATTTTTTCATTAAGGATCACAAAGTTTACATCAACTTATATGTCTGTAGGAGTTTAAGAAATAGAAAATTAAATCAATATTGGGTATTCACAAGAATCTTCCCCTTTATAGTCCTTAAATTTGAGAAACACTGCAAGATAACACATCTATTAATCACAGATTAATCTGGTATTAGATTAGAAATTCTCAGCTGACCACCTGCCTATCTACTGTTCTTGAACAAAGCTAAAGTTATAGGATGGTCATCCACTGTCTTATCAAAGAGTTCTTTATAGAATATCCAATAACTCAGCAAATTTAAACCCCAGAACATATGATATCTAAAAATTTTAGGACCTGAAAGGATTATGTCATTAGTTTGAAGAAAAGATGACTATCAAGGTTAAAAGTCCTGCCCCCCCCCACTCAACTGGCTATCCTGAATCAAGTCTATTGATCTGAAAAATTATATTATCTTTGAAGTCATAGTTATGTTACCTTTGAAAGCTGAAAAAAATAAGGAAAAAATCTTAATTGAATATGATACCCACATTATGCTCAAATGTCATTTCAATCTTTTTGCTCAGATGTCATTTTGTCTTCTGTCAAAACTAAAAAATATATAAACTTCTTACCTTATTATAAATCTCTAAATTCTTGATGAATCTGACAAATGATGTTCTCTAAGAAAAACACCCTTCAATTCTATTCCTAAAAGAAAAAACATTTAAAGGCAAGTCAGTGTACAGAAACTACATATCTGTATGCCTCATGATTTTCTTTTTTCCATTATGTCCTCATCCACATACATTAATCACAACAAATCATGATGTGAACAGCAGTGGAAAAAGTTTAATCATTGGACATTTATACTTTTTTCTCATTTGCAACTTAAGTTCTAGTCAAGGTTTTTATTGCTTAGCCCCCTTTAAAATATAGATAAATGCACATTTCTATAGATTTCAATTTTCTCATGTAGAACAGATAAGACCTCCAATTTTACTATCATTGGAAAAAACTCATAAGAAAGATAAATTTCAAGCATATCATTTATCTACTTTGCACAGATTACCTTATGCTAACTTGGAGGTATTGTCTTAACATCAAACCTGATATGGAAATGGTAACCATACATTTGAAAACTGGTTATGCCTTGCTTCATATGTAATGTTTCTGTTATTCGACATTTCCAGTGATCAGAAGCACTAAAACTTTCAAGGAAAAGAGGGAGAGTCATCTCTACTAAGAACTTATAAGCAGTGATAATGTGAAAAGACTCAAAAGATTACAAATCTCAGGCATTAAACAGAATGCTGACAATTAGGAACATCCTGACTGCTTGACAATGTTTTTATTTCACTCATTAAGAGGGAAAGAAGAGCTCCTGGCAAGGCCCAGCACCCCTTGCAGGCCTTCCCCAGCTGGTTGGGGTGGCCTTAGGCTTGGCTGGCCGCCCCCAATGCCTGAAAATAAAATTAAAATACAATATAATAAGGAACAGAAGCCCAGAGCAGGGGAAAGCAGCAGGAAGGAAAGAAAGCATACTTGCCACACTGGATAAAAATCAAGCTTTTGGCAAAAAGGGCAACTGCTTGAATTTTGCTGCTGCATATTTACACCTTTACTCTATCCTATGTCAAATATTTGTATAACTGCCTGTAAGTAATTGGACTACATTCCTTCAAAAACAGAAATTTCAAACTTTTCCAAGTCAATCTGCACCTCAGGTAAAGTAATAGGGGAAGGGATACAAAATTTCTAGTCTAGTTCCAACCAGCTTCTCTTAACCCCCTCCACCTAGGGGGAATTGGGAAAGGGGATATGAGTCCAATAAAAATAGTATTTCATTAAGGTAGAGTATTCTGACTATAAAGTGAACTTTCTTAAAACTCTCAAAAGGAATGTAGCACCACTTATAGTTTATATATACACAGGCAAGAAAGAAACCACACGTACCTTAGAAAACAGAGCACTTGTTTGGATACAATGCTCTCATACTTCTAATTATCTGACTTAAGGATCAAATATCAACTCTCTTGACTTAATACATTGAAACATTTTTTTAAAAAGTTTTTAATTAAAGTGTGGTTGTCAACCTCCAGGATGGTCCCCAATGATCCTCCACCTCCTGGTATTCATACCTTTGTATAGTGTCCACCTATACTGCACCAGGATTAGTCTCTGTGACCAATAAAGCAAGGCAGAAGTGATGTTTTGTCACTTTCTAGAGTAACTTTTAAAAGACAAGCTTCCATCTTGGCCTTTCTCTCTGTGATCATTCCCTCTGGGAAAGCCAACTGTCATATTATAAGGATACTCAGGCAGCCCATGGGGAGGTTCACATGGTGAGGAAGAACTGACGTCTTCAGCCAACAGCCATCAAAGAACTGAGGCTTGCCAAGTGAGACAGTTTGGAAGCTGATGTCTCTCCTCTACCTCCTCTGCCCACTGTAAGATAAAGGTTTTTTGTTTTAAACTGTCAAATTTTTGTTACATTGCAATAAATAACCCAGGTCACAAACCATATCCCAGAAGTAAAATGTACAACTTATGAATCAGTTGAAAAGTTCTGAAATCTTGGGAAAGGATCAGATTAAGAACTGTCTTCACATTTATTCACCAATAATTTCAAAACCTCAAGGCTTTTCTGAAGCAAAAACAACAACAAAACAAAACAAACAAAAAACCCCAAGAACTAATAGGATGAAAAATTTAGCAAGAATGTAAGTCAGTTACTAGAAACACATTTTACTTATCAAGATGACAAATAAATGCCCTAGTATAACTGACTAAAAAATCTGACAAAAGGATAGGTGTTCAATAAGGACAATACCAGTCCTAGAAAGCAAAAGTCTATTTACTTTCATAGGGTTGTTGAGAGAAATAAGAAGTGTTTAAAACAAAAACAAAAAAACTGTATATGTGTATAAAACACTTAGTACAAAGCCTGACATATAACCACTTAATAAGTTTTAGCTGTTACTATTTTTTTTTCAGGTGACCAATGAATGAGATTCTATACCACCAAACAGGAGAGTAGATTTCACCCAAGCCTTTATAAAATCCATTTTTACTCAATAATCCTCCACTTTCAACTCACTACTTTTGTTCCAGGAATACTTAATACATTTAAAACAAAAGGATATACTACCTCCTCTGCATACTTTGAGTAAGTGGCTTCCAAGACCCAGGAATCTTCTTCTGACATTTCCAAGAATATAATCCCTGAAAAGAGATATTTTATTTTAAATTACTTTGTCCAACGGTCAATGCCTTTTACAAACATCTTTAATGTAGCTTACATATCCTCATTTACATATTCAATAATCACAACGGTTCATTATGTGAACAGCAGTGAAAAAGTTTAATCACTGGATATGAAGTTATTGGAGGAAACAGATACAATCAAATGATTAAATTGGGAACTTCAATGTCATCAGTAAAATGATACCAAATGCAACAAAAAAGCATGTAAAACTTACAGGCAAGTGTAAAAACACATAAATACAACTCAAAATGAATGATTCCATTTATAAATGGTTGCATACTTCCCTATCCAGAAGCATACTAAAGAATACCCAGAGCAGCGACCCACTGTGGCTTCTGTAAACTGAGTTGGTTATTTTCGTTTAGCAGGTCTACAATATTTAAGCAAATCTGTTCTGCAGCATAGCAGTTTTCTGCAACTCATCTGTAATTAGAAGAATGCTGTCAAAATAATGTGAGAGCCACATTATCTGGAAATCAATTCAGCATAAAGGAAAAAAGCCCTCTTTGGACTCTGATGCTGAACTGGCAGCAGTAAGAGTACTTTGAGCTCTATCTTAAGAAAATGAAAAATGAGTGCCTGCACCGGGGGCTCTCTGCCCAGCAGCACCCACCTCCCTCTCCAGGCTTTCAGCAGGTTACACTACCTGTGAACAACTATCTTAACAGCAGTCCATTTGCCCAGGGCTCCATTTCCATCAGTAATACCTAGCACCCAGCAAACTTGCTCTTTTAATACACCTTAACGGTAACTTTAAGTCTCTATTTAAAGTTACCTTTAATGTGGTAGGAGGGCATAAGAATACCTCCCAGCTACCAATCACTGTTTATTTTAGAGATTATAAAATTGCGTAAGTTTTGAGTAGTCAGCCCTAACCCTATTTTCTGTATAAGTCCTGCTTCTTTCAAATGCACAATTTTGCTGAACAGGAGGTTTTTTCAGGAATTCATATAACATTATAGCAGAAACACGTGTCTATTTGTGCATGAGGGGTTGAAAGACAAATTCATCTTAGACATTGTCTCTGCACTCAAGTAGCATCTTCTAGCAAACTGAGTCCTTAAAAAAAGGCAACCGTCACAATGATATTACTTTCACATCTACAAGAATGTGGAGAAATTGGAACCCTCATCCACCGCTAGTGGGAATGTAAAATGGTACAGCTACTTTGGAAAAAGTCTGGCATTTCCTTAAGAGGTTAAACATAAGAGTTAGCATATGACCCAACAATTCCATCCTTAGGTGTATACTCAAGAGGAATGAAAACATATGTCTACACACAAACTTGTACAGTAATGTTCATAGCAGCATTATTCCTAACAGCCACTCAAAATGGAAGCAACTCAGATGTCCACCAACTGATGAATTGATAAAATAAAATGTGGTATACCCATACAATGGAATATTTTTTGGCAATAAAAAAATGAAGTACTGATACTACGACATGAATGAACCTTAAAAATATTCCAAGTGCAAGAAGCCAGTCACAAAAGATAATACATTAGTTTCTGATTCTATTTATATGAAGTATCCAGAACAGGCAAATCTAAACAAAGATTAGTGGTTTCCAGAGGCTGGAGGAGGGAAAATATAAGTGACTACTAATGAAAATGGGGTTTCTTTCTGGGGTAATGAAAATGTTCAAAAATTGATTGTGGTGATGGTTGAACAACTCATGAATATACTAAAAACCATCGAATTGTGCACTTTAAATGTATTAACTGTATGGTATTTATTTGAGTTATAGCTCAATAAAACTATTACCAAAAAAGTAAAGCAACCAATTTTTAATTAAAAACGTATTTATTTCTATTTAGCCTCACTCAGGTCTTAATTGGTTGAATGCTGGAACTTTCTAACAGTCTAATCAACTGACAGTGACTTAAATCCAGGTCCTACGTCTTGCACATCCCCCATGGACCAATCTTCCCCAAATTCATGAACTATCTTTAGGCCATGTAACTGTTAACAAAGCTACATAAGCAAAAGCTATGTTAATTTCATTCACATAGGACACAAGCATATTATAATGGAAAGCAACTGTAAATAAATAATACCTTGAGATGAATCTTTGCGGCTGGAATCTGGATAAACTAAACAAAAAGGGGGGAAAGAACGATCTTGTTTGGAAATATTGGAATCAGTCTTGCCAACTAGAGAAAAATTAATGCTACAAGCATTTGTTTTCTATAACGGGCCTCTAACGTCAAACAGGAAAGATGCCACTTCATATGCTATAGATCTCTACAAAGATACAAAACAGAAACTATGATCTACTTTGGCCCCATTTTGTTTCTTCTATGAAAACTGAAATCGCATACTGTAAAAATAAAGAGCTTAACAAAGACTTCGTTCTAAGATCTTCTCACTCCTGAAAGCTAACCACCATGCCCTACATCCCAACCAAACCCGTTTAGTTGCCCCTCTCTCCCGCCCCTCCTAGTACTGCTGTTGACAGTCCCCACGAGATCGTTCGCTTCCCCAGAGCCCCGAGGACCTTCTTACCTTAATTCCTTAATTCCTCCACTGCAGCAAATGATCCTACAGAAAAGCGTTCGTTCAACTAAAAGTCGACGTATCTTCACATCAGATTCTTATTCAAGCTCCTCTGAGGTCACATACCTATGGTCAACCATTCCACTAGCTTCTACATTCATTATCTCTGCATCAGGGAACTACAAAATAAAATGCAAGGAAATGACACGCCCCTCAGTAAACCATTTATTTTAGATCCAACTTAGCCTTCCGTATTTCTGGGGAGCCTCATTGATCCCTCTCCCTCCTACCCCTCTCATTACATCCTCCAGTCACTTTCTGAGCTCGCACCCGGAGACCCATCGGCATGCCTCTGGATTCGCCTCAACTTTGGTCCAGCCTCTCCCTTCGCATTCTCTGGCTGGGCCTCACAAGAAGCGCGATGGCACTGGATTTAACCACAGCGGAAGAAAACGAGTCTTCGACAGCTAAATCCACTAACCACCCTCGAACAGAGACGAAGGAGCGGCCAAGTGCTCGTCTTTATGCCCCTGGCCTTTCAGATTGGCTGCTGTGACACGACGCGGCCTGTGATTGGCCACGGCGTCAAGCGCAGAGCCCATGGAGAGGAAGGGTGGGAGCCGAGCGCTTTAAGAGCCCGCCTTTCCCAACAAGTAAAGGTTGCAGCCGCCGAGTCATCGGGCGGAGCTAACTTTATCGTGATTCATGCTGTCGCGGGAATACCGACGGTGGAGCTGCACGTAGCAAGAAGATGACCCGAAGTTGCTCGGCTGTGGGCTGCAGCACCCGGGACACCGTGCTGAGCCGGGAGCGAGGCCTCTCCTTCCACCAGTGCGTGAGAGCAGCCTCCGCGCTAACTCCCAGCACGGCCAGAAGGGCTGTAGGCCAGGGTGGGGCGGGGCCGGGCCGTGCGTCGCCCCGACGTGACGTGGCGTGGCGTGGCGTGCGTAGCGCGGGGGTAGGGCGGGGAACCGGGTCGCTTGGAGAGTGGGGGTTCTTGCTTCAGGTCCTGCTCTTTTTACCTCCGCCTGTCTGTCTTTTTGTCATTGCCTACCCCTGCTCGGTAGCTTTTAGCGTTACTTACGCGGTAGGCGTCGGTCGTCTTAGGAGAAGGAAAGGCAGTTTAGAATACCCGTTGAAGGCGTGAGCTTTTATTGGAGTGCGTGGCTTGCTCCAGAGCATGAGTACAGATGAATTTGATACGGAACTGAACTCTGCTCTCCATCCCGGCAAAGCTAGTTTACTCCAAATTGTGGTGAAGGAAGATCTAACGTTGACTGCAAGGCGCGAAGCGAGGGGAAGGGCGGGGGCGGCTGTGTTCAAAAGGCCTTAACTCTTTGATGGCTTTTAGGGTTTTTTAAAAAGCAGTATTTGGGGTAAGGGCTGTAGGGTGCAGACTTTATTCTGGTGGGTTGAGGGTGAGGTATCAGGTTGGTATTTTGAGACTCTCAGTCATCAGCCTTCTGGTTCCAACCGGTGGAGTCTAGGTGCTTGTGGTCAGCAGGTAGTCACCACCCTCCACCTTGGTGGGGCAGGGGATGGATGGTGTCTTAGTTTTTGCAAAACTACTCAGAGATATCCATCGGATTGTTATGTATATGTCGTGAGGAACTGGGACTGTTTTTATCACTGAACTGTTCAGGCTATCTGGGTTAACTGCTTTTCCTTTTTTTTTTTTTTTCCTGCATTCCTTCACGACCCTAATTAGTAATTGCTTGAGTCTGCTCTTTGGAACTCAAGGAAGACCAAGGAGACTAAAGGCTTTTTTTTGGCTAGAACTAGGAGGCACAGAGGGGTTTTTGTACCCGGGAGGGTCGCCCAGGGACCTGTTCGGTTTCAGATTTTCATCTGTAGTTCCTGTAGTGACAGTTGTCCAGTATTCTTAGCAGAGCTCTGCAAGCCTGGTCCAATTCTGGCTGTGTCTAGTCATGGCAAGAAAATTTCATTTGGCTCAAGAGAGGGGCATGTTTTCAGACCTATCTAATTTGAACCCACATCTGTGGTTCAGTCTGGTATAGGTCATTGGAATCAATGAGAACTAGAAAAGTGGGTAGAACAGATCCTCACAGACGAAGAGAAGTGTACAGTACTTTAAAAAGTGGTAGCCTAGTAAGGCAGTATGAGATGTAGGGAGTTAAACCACTGACAAGGGACATTTATGAAAAGATCAGAAAGAGCTGTAGGGGACAAGTGGTATTTGAGTTGGACCTTGAACTTTACCTAAGTGGGGGAGTGGGGTGGAGGAGGATAGCATTTAAATAGAAATAGCATGGAAAAATGTAAAGGGATGAAAAGTGAAGCTATAATGTAGAAGAGTGGAATAAGTAGCTTGAAGGCAAATTATCTAAAAAAAAATGTAACATGTGAGGTTAAGTAGTTTCAACTATGAATGGTAGGCCTTTTGTGGTATTGCTTGTTTTAAATAGGGCTGATTCCTCCACCTAAGCTGTTTCCTAAATTGTACCCTTTCTTCTCTGGGATTTGTTTCCATCAGTTAATTCCTTTTCTCTCTTTCTTTTCTTTTTTTTTTTTTTGAAAAGCTTATTTATTTATTTAAATTGATTTATTATACCATTTTAAAGATTATTCCCTATTAAATTTATTACAAAATATTGGCTACATTCCCTGCATTGTACAGTACATCCTTGAGCCTATCTTACACCCTGTAGTTTGTACCTCCACTCCCCTACACCTAAATTGTCCCCCCGCCTTCCTACTGGTAACCACTAGTTTTTCTCTATATCTGTAAATCTGCTTCTTTTTTGTTATATTCACTAGTTTGTTATATTTTTTAGATTCAACATGTAAGTGATACCATGCAATATTTGTCTTTCTCTGATTTATTTCACTTAGCATAATGCTCTCCAAGTCCATCCATGTTGATGCAAATGACAAAATTTTGTTCTTTTTTATGGTTGAGTACTATTCCACTGTGTATGTGTGTGTGTGTGTGTGTGTGTGTGTGTATATATATATATATATATATATATATATATATATATATATGCCTTATCTTTATCCATTCATCTGTTCATTGGCACTTAGGTTGCTTCCATATCTTGACTATTGTAAATAATGCTGCTCTGAACCTTGGGGTGCATTTATCTTTTTGAATTAGTTTTTGTATTTTCAGATACATACTCAGGAATGGAATTGCTGGGTCATATAGTAGTTCTATTTTTAGTTTTCTTGAGAACTGTTCTTTTATTTTAAACTGCTCCCTCTACTGCTTCATTATCTAAAGACACTGAGCATGCTCACAAATTCTTGAGCCTAGGTGCACCTCTACACTACCCTGCCACTCTCCTTTCCTTTGTAACCAGGTTCCTTAA